ACGGTCGTCGACCAGCAGGATTGGGATGACTGGCTCCCATTCGTACTCTTTGCTTACCGCACCGCGATGCATGAAAGCACCCGAGAAACCCCTTTCTTTCTCTTGTACGGAAGAGATGCTCAGCTTCCGTTCCATGAGGTCATCAAACCGCCTAGACCGAACTATGCGGTTCTAGAGGACTATAAGGCAGAGCTAGTAGCTAGGCTGAGAAAAGCTTTCGAAGGTGCCAAAGAGCAATCGAAATAAGCTAGCGAAAGAAGAAAGAGCTATTTCGACAAACGGGCTGTTCGGTCCGACTTGAAGCTAGGTGATCTCGTTTTGTTGCATTCACCAGCAGTGAGTCTGGGGTTAACACAAACTGGCAAGGCAATGGAAGGGACCTTACCGAATTGTGGGACAAGCGGGTCCAGTAACTTTTCATGTCCAAAAACCAGAGGACAGGGAGGCACATTTGGTGCACGTAAATAGGTTGAAAAGATTTTACGAGCCCATCCGGTTCCCTATGATTTCGTCGAGCAGGAAGGGGGATTGTCGAAACGGGATGAGGACGAGGAAGAAGACATGCGAATGGGTGAAATTCAAAATTCATTACTACCTGCGGAGAATACTGAGTTGAACGGGACGAGAGAGACCCCAACCGATTCACTTGGGCACAAAAACATCGTAGAAAGGACGGCAGGACAAGGCCAGGGTCTGGGAGGATACGCGCTGAGGAGTCGTGGTCCCGTGCCCGACATGCCGCGAGTAATGCTTTCTTCTCGTGCCCCCAAGGTAAACCAAGAGCAAGGGCAAAAGCGAGTCCGCTGGGCGGATCAAGTAGGGCAAGATGATCCTGAGATTTCAGAGGACCAGGACGCGGAGGGCGATTCTGAACTGGAAATTTTGGCATTGCGAGCCATAAGCCAGGAAAATGAGGGGGACGCCGTCGTTCCCTTGATAAATGAAATGACGGAAGGGTTTTACTCCACATCTTCGGTAGTACCGGCCTCGAGAGGGAAAGCCTCGAAATTAATTACCTGTATCTCACAACCAGGAAGGGACAGGGGGAAGAGACTTTTGGCACAGCGGCTGTTAAGCCTTCCGTTAGAATAAGAGTAAAAAGGAGTCAAGCTGACATAATCGAGGCATCCCTTCAGTCTTCCAGATTTTTGAAGTGGGAATACAACATTTTAGATGTGGAGATGAGTCGGTGGTTCATGTTTTTAACCGTCCTAATCCATGTGGTGGTTGCCAATGACTTGCTGACCGGACGCGTTGAAAAGGGACCTACGGAGGGGCCACTGGGATGGAATGTATCGAGAATTGAGGCATCGGGACTCGATAAGGGTATAATTTTCATCAGGAAGGGGAGTTTTCTTTTTTTCAGGAGATAAATGGACCCTGATCGTCGAAGTTCCATTTATACGGTATAAAACTGTAGTTTCTAGTTTCCTCACCGAATTATAGACTTTCGAGGGTTTCCTACACGACGAGATATGGCCAAGGTTTCAGCAGGGACTGCCTTCCGACACCGCTAAGGACCCAAAGAGAGACGACGCAAAGCTGCTAGAGGATTTGGTGATGCTACTAAGCAGGGAAGTAGAGCATATGAAGAAGGGTATTCAGGAAGTGCTATCCACTCTCCATAACCAACAAGAAACTGTGGCTGTTCCGAGTCGGAGAAAAAGATCTGCATTAATTGGAGTTGGGGGTAAGATTCTAAAATATTTGTTTGGAACATTGGAGGAGGACGATCTACGGGATCTGAGTGACGCTATCGACCAGGTCAATCTAAAGGCTGATACGGCCATACATCTAGCTCACCTTCAGGCTTCTGCATTGGATGCCACATGTGAATGTGGAGAAGGATGCTCAAGCAATCAGGAAATTAGCCCTAGCTACTGGAAAACTTATTGAACAGGTAAAGGGGTTGAAATATCAACTGTTCATGGATCAGCGTGAGAACCGGGGATGGTTAATAACGTTTAGATTACTCAGCACAGCTGCGCGAATGCTGCAGTTTTCGTTTTCTGAAATCCAAAACGAAGTAAATAGATTCGCTCAAGCCCTTGATGTGACGGCGCGAAAACAGCTAAGTCCATTCTTTATCTCATCTGGAACATTCCTCAAAATTTTAAAGGAAATCCAACTCCTGCTACCGGCAGACATGATCTTTGTCACATCACTATGATAAGAAGATATGTACATATACTATCATTGGACTGAGGTCAAGGCAGCTGCGAAGCCGGGAGCTCTTAGATTATTCGTCAGCATCCCCTTAAAGTCCATGGATAACTACTTTGACTTTTACCATGCTATCCCTTTTCCGGTTCATATCCCTAAACTGAATCTTTCTGTGGTCATCGACACTGAAAATCCTTACATTGCTGTGAGGAGTAATAGACAAGCTTTCTTTGAACTGGATGCCGACGAAGTGGAAGGGTGAATGCAGGGCACCTTAGTAATATGTCAACCTAATATTGCTATCAGGAAATCCCCAGAAAAGTCGTGTCAATATAGTCTGTTGATGCAACAGAATGTTTTTCCTTCTAAATTGTGTACGAGACGTATTTTGCGCCACACATAGCCATACTTTTATAGGACGGATGAAAGTGGCAAATGAGCTTTCTCTGTCCCAGATCCTGTGCAATTAACTGCCCATTGCCCAATGGACCAGGAAAGGAGTGTCAGGGTGACGTCAAGTTACAATTCTCATACGGAAATTGTTCGCGGAACGGGATTTCTTCACCTTCGCCCTGAATGTAGTGCGTATGCATCCAAACTTGTCCTCCCCTTGAGCTATATAGGATGCAGTAATTATGAAAATCTCACCCAAGAAACCAATCTAGTATTGCCAAAAGTTAGTGATGTTTTGACCCCTATTGAAATGTCCCTATGTCTATCAGGCTCTATATGACTCTATGTTTGATATGCTCCAACTGAATGTCAATGAGGTGGCAAATTTAGAGCATATGCATTCTGGAATCGACATCCAAGAATTACAACAAAGCCTTAACAACCGTAAAAGAATTATGCATAATACCTTCATATGGTATGATTGGAGACTGTTCGTTGCACCTGGTATTGTCAATTGTGCCATGATCTTGTTGTATATGCTGTGGATCAATTTGAGAGGGAATGTCAGGGGTGAATGGAGCCCTTTTCCCTTTCGAAAGAGAAAGAATACCTCTGTTCCTAAGTGCCCTACTCCGTTCCCTGACATAGCCTATTCCCAAAGCGAAGATGAAGTGGATGTCTAGTAAACAAAGATGCAATTTTTGTGTAAATTAGTGATTGAGTTTTACTAATCACGGGATTAGTGGTCCACATTTGGGACCATCATGAAGATGTGTACTAATCATATTGAAAGATGTCTTTTGTAATAACTCCCTCGACGCAGCACCCCTAAATTAAATATGACTTTACTAAGTCACCAGGACTCCTGAGCCTTCAACACTCAAGTGTTCCCTCCAAACTGCATAGTCTCCTACGAGGTCGACCTTGGCTCGGCGGGGACGAAGCGACAGATTGAGGACCTACTCTTTCAGGACTCTCTGGTGAACAAGGAACAGTGGGAGGAGGTGGAGGACCAAGAGCAGAACACTCCCGGAGCAGGGGATGAAAATGTTGCACTCCATAAGGAGTACCACACTTTTTCAGAGCAGGGGCGGATGTAGCGCCCGCCATGACTTATCGCCTCCCCCCCTAGTCAGGCGCCAGTCTACGGTCCGAAGGGGTTGAAATTAATTGCTACTTCTCCTCTACACGTGTCCTTTCATCATTAACATAGGAGAATGACAAAATTAGGACAGCGACAAATCAGGACAGACTGGCGGCTTTCGCGAAATCTATGGCTTTCCCGCGATTCCGCTGTCAAGAGGAATCAGAGGTCGACCACATTCCCCCAAATCTCATGAATCCATTTTCGTAACATCCTTCCGGCTTTCCGACCATTCAGCGTTTGAGTTTACCGTGACGTGGACAGTCATGGAGAAGAGTATAAAAAACTCTACTTGGAGGGTGGACAGGAGGAGGAGGTAGAGGTTGGTGAAGGGTTCCGGACTTCGCTGCTGCTGCTATCATCAGGCACCGGGTTAGGGGCCCTGTTGTTAAATCAGAGCCTTGCTATTTCTACTTGGTTGGAACAAAGGTGCCTAAGCGCTGGTTGTTGCCGGGCTTGGGTGGATCTGGTTGGGGCCAGATTCTGTTCCTTGCTGGTTGGAGCCAGAAGGGACGTATAGATATAGGAAAGCCGAAATAGGATTGTGAGCGTGCGGAGGGTTGGAGCCCGAGCAACCCCTTCCGGTTTCGTTGTTTAGCCGTGGTTGAACAAATCACGAGACCTCGCGAAAGTGCAGCATCGAGGGGGTGAGCTGAATCATTTTCTTGTTCGTAGAAGTTCTTTCATTTTTGTTCATTCACCTTTAAAAGCGAAAGCTGTCGATCGCGAAGTAGTGCTGAGGAGGATCTTGTACAATCTCATTTTGGGTACTTTGTCGATAGAATAAACGAAATCCTGCAAAAACTCAGTCTGTTGGAATCATTGTCTAACGGCCACTGATAACGTCCGACCAATATGAACCATCCCAAAAGGACAATTTCTAATATCCTTTTTTTAATTTTAATTTTCTTGTTTCGCGACGGTCAAGGTAGTTTGCGGGTAGCTATTAAATTACAGCGACGTACGAGTAATACTACCGGCCACGCCAGACGACCGTGAGCGTTACACGTATAAGTCCCGCATTAATTGCATGAATTCGCCATCCTTTATTCCATATTCACTTCATCAGGAAAACTTCCATGAAAGTTTGTCTTGAAATCAGGCATCATTGATAATTAGCTTTTAATGAAGGCATAATGATACACCTGCCAGGATTCAAACATTTTTTTCTTTCCCTGAAGCAGATTCATTCAATGAATCACATTATCTGTGTCTATATTCATCTTTAAAATGAATTTTTTTGATTAGGCTTAATTCATTTTCTTCCTGTTCTGAAAGTTTCACATTTACTGGAGTTCCTTATTTTCAAGTCAATGATCATTTTTCTTACTAGAACACGCCTCTTCGTAGGGGAACTTGGGCTGTCTTCATTTTCTCCACTATTTGAAGAGTGAGGGCATCCCTTGTGCTTATATGACCTGTAAATATAAGGTAATCTTTTGGTATCATGATTAACTCACAATTAATATTGAACTTTAACTGAGCACAAAGTGCGACATCTAAGATGACCGCGCGAACTGCTCTTCAAAACCAGCAGGAACCAATGGTGAGGAAAACCAGACTGTATCTGGTTTGCAGGAAATTCAATAAATGAACAAACAGCGGTTCATTGGTGAATTGATGCTCCTGCAGGAACTAGAGAAAAATGTATTTCCTGTAATAAGTCGTCTAACTCTTGGAGACAAGTTTGGCCAGCAAGTCTAGATAAATGAGTGAAAGACATTCGGAAGGGCATTAGGAAGCAAAGAAAATGTTATTTTTAATATTTAAAATATTTATTTAACTTGGAGGTATCAACCAATCTCCTCCTTGTAAATTAGGAGAATTCGATCTACAGAGTGGCATCTAAAGACTGCATGAACTCTGGTCGAACACTGGGGAATGCTTCAGGCCAGGCAGCTATCTATATATCCTGAGAATCTAGAGTTCATGAAGAATGGTATTGGATAAGCATTTTTAAATATGATCTAATGCTTTGTATTCATAAACTAACTGTATTCCAGAAGATTGAGAAGGTCGATCATGTTTCATTTTAATAGATGCATTTCAAGGGATTTAATTCATTCTTGGAGCTACAAAAACTTTTTTCATTGATTACTCAATCGTACTCTTGAAAGTAACGACGCGTGTTTCAAAAGTCATTACCATTTTAGTGTGGATTGTATAAAAGTGGAGGGACAACATTTCACTTTTCAATATAGTCTCGATTCTTCTCGAGACACAGTCGCCACCGTTTTATGCATTTCTTATAGCACTCTACGAAGAAGTCCACTTGTACGTTTGAACTACTGGTAAATAACACTTCCAAGTGCAGCTCTTGAGGCGAACCGGTTGCCCCAAAGCGAATCCTTCAGCCTGCTGAACAGCCAGAAGTAGCTGGGAGCCAGAGCAGGTGAATACGATGAGTGAGGCAAGATTTCGCACCGTGCTTCGTTTAAAAAAACTCCGTCACGACACGAATGTATCGGTGGAATGTGATGCGTTGTCCTGGTGGAGGATGAGTTTTCTGTTCGCGAGCTGAAGACACAGCTGGAAGCTGTTCTTTTTGAAGGAGATCCCGGTAGTATTGGCCATTAAATGTTTGCCTTTTTTGGACTCTTTTTCTCCATGTGACGATAGAAATTTCAGGCCACCTCTCTGCTCATCATGAGTTAAGTTCATTTTTTGTGGCACTCTCCAAAAAGGACACAACAATTTCTACAAAGGCCGCAAAACAATTTACTCAATGACACAAAGTTTACAGCTTACAGGCAAGAAACCGAGCGTGATAAGTAAGACTCACATCTAGGTACACCTTCAGATAACACTTAATGAAAACACAACGACAAGAATAGTCGTATTAAATAGCAAAATTTTGTCAATATTTGGCGACAAATTCCTATATTTTAAGTAAACTTTGAATCAATGACCTTTGCATCACGTTAAGGCTAATAAAGGACCAGAGGAAGGCCTGAAGAACTAGCTATACAGGATCAATCCGTAAGTTTTAACGGAAAAAATATTTTTTCTTCCTTCATTTTCAAAATATGACTTTTTTCAAAGAATTTCCGACTTTTGTATCACTGTGCAGCATGAGGAAGAAGTATGACGTCCAATCATGTCAGCTTTTACGCGAAAGAGCCCACTTCAGTGATGGCGTGACGGTAGCTGCTGCGGTATCGACTGTCGGCAAGACCATCCTCATCGTGCAGCGCGTAGTGAAAATCAATTACACTAATGTTTAGACTAATGTAAAGTCAAGATATTTCCGGACATTAAACACCAATCTCTCAGCTTCGCATTCATGCAAGATGGAGCTCCTGCCCTCGGTGCAGAAACGATCTTAAAGCCCCTCAATACCAATTGTACTGATTTAATCGAACTTGACTTGTAACAAACAGCCCCCGATTTTAAATCTAGTCTATTATTTCACTTGGGGCTGATTGCTGCAAATGGTGTAAGATGGTGCCGACATTCAAACCGTCGACGAGCTCAAATAATGCATAGCAATGTGTTGAAAACCACTCAGCCAAGAATCACTTGCAAAAGCTATTCAACAATGGACCGGATGACTTCGAGTAGTTGTGCAAGCAGAGGGAAGCCATATACAGGGTGGCCCAAAAAATTCCGCCCCAATATTTAATTGTACATAACTCAAGCACTATTGAAGCCACAGGCTCGCAAGAAACAGCAAATTAAAGGTTGTTTCTTCCTCTTTAAAATAGTTCATAGGTTCATTGTAATACGTGCCATGGCATGGCCGCCATGGCCATTTGAATCAACTATGACCGAAAAAAAGGTTGCAAAGTGTTGCTACTGCTACAGGCGCCTTTGTTTCTGTCCTGCTGTGAAGAGAGGAAGACACAGTTCAATGGCTGGCTACTTTTTCACCCTCTCAGTCATCTCATCCTAATACCACATCATTATTATGCTGAAACGTGCATGAACCGCCGACCAGCACTCCAAGCTTTCAACAGAGAAGCTTAGCTCACTTCGCATTGCGATCCTGCAGCAACGATGTTTGCTCTCTCTTCCACGAGAAATTACCTTGTGCATGCTTCATCTGAGCGTCGGTTTTCACTTTCAATTTCGCTTTCAATTTTTTCAATTTTTTTTCCTCAGGGCCAAATTTGACAAGTGTCCACCGCGGGTTATCAGAAAGTGATTAGGGTGGAAGGTGAAAAAGTAGCCAGCCATTGAACTGTGTCTTCCCCTCTTCACAGCAGGACAGAAACAAAGGCTCCTGTAGCAGTAGCAACACCTTGCAACTTTTTTTCGGACATTGTTGATTCAAATGGCCATGGCGGCCATGCCATGGCACGTATTACAATGAGCCTATAGAATATTTTACAGAGGAAGGAACAAGCTTTAATTTGCTGTTTTTTTCGAGCCTGTGGCTCCAATAGTTTTTGAGCTATGTGCAATTAAAAATTGTGGCGGAATTTTTTGGGCCACCCTGAACATTAAAGATTGATGCTCTTATTGTAGTATGCCTTTCATTTCATTATTCATACCTGAACCAGAAACGCGCTCTTTTTGAGGGAGACAAATATAATTTAAAATGTGGCTCATTCTTGACTTGGTTGCAATTGTTCAACTTGCATGTCTATAGTTTAGGACTTACCCATTGTTGGTCTCTTCTGAAAGGTGAGCGACGCATGCAGATTCTTGACTCTGAGCATCCCGATTACCATTAGGTAACCCCGTGGTACCTTAAAAAAAAAGAATATTGTAAGGAAAATCTTTTTTCCAATACTGTCGCGCATGCTACCGATTGTCTAGCGTATGAGAGCGTCAGAAACACCAAGAGATGGTATTCATGTTGACTGTTCATTTCCTCCTTCCTCTGACAAGGCCTGATATTTTTTCTTAGCTATATTAGAATGTACAAATGCATCAGCGTTGTACAAGGTGTCTTATTAGAAGTAAAGTGGTTTTCTTTTGAATATATCTCTGACGGTTAGAGAAATCTTAATTCTTATAGATTTTTGGCCGGGATTTGAAGATAAAAGTTTAATCTGTGCACATCTCAGAATAAAAAACAATTTTTAACAGGGGTATTGTACAAGCAAGGGACTGTGGCATTCTGCATTGTTTACTGCAGGAGATAGTGCTAGGCCATGAATTATACGCGTCAGCGTATCAAAGTGGCTCATGTCCGATGCTGAGGCGTGAGCGAATCCTCAGTGCGGATGCAGCAAGACAGATGCTGGTCCGGTTTACGATTAGCATACCTTGCAAAAATTCGATGATATCATCTCTGTCCATGTCAGTCAGTGCCTCATAGAACTTGGTCACGCATTTTCCTGTGTTTTTCGAAGAGAGGATCCTAAAGAGTTCATCATATTGTTCTTTGAGGTCATGGTTGCGACGAATCTGCTGATCCTCCATGTCTGTGATGACCCTCTTTTCACTTAACCTGCGTCGCAACTCATTTGGATCAAGGTTGAAGACGTCCCGTAGCTTCATCCTGTTCTGCTTGATCCTGTCCCACGATGACATGTTCCTTCTGTTCTGTGGATAAATAAAAACTCGAATCATTCCAATGTATTTATTTCAACATTAGGACAGTTCACGTCATGTGATGACATTAAGTGTCCTAATGTTTAAAATGTTGATTTTCTGCTGCCATAACTCTCCATCACGATACGGTGCCTGATCCTCAATACATTTCATGATAGCAATGGTTCTTCTCTTTTTGCTTGACATCTGATTTTCTTGAAGTGAATGAATATAGTCATGCGATATATCTCTGAACAAGTTTTTCAGAGCTATATGCGATGATTGTGAATCTAATTTCGGCTCTGCTTGTCGGTTCACCCATTTCCATTAAATTATTCGTGTTGCTCACCAATCGCTGCTGAAGAAAGTTTAGGGTGAACGAAAATTTGGCTCTCGTTGTGTTGAATACGTTTTATATGACTGATTTAAAGAAATAAGAAAAAAGTAAAAATATGAGATGCAAAATTATCGACATGAATTGCTTGTTTTCACTCATGTAAGGTACAAATATCTCTCTTGGAAGAAGGTTGACTCCTATTTTGCTCGTTCTACCCATTATTCAAACCATATGCTATACGGAGGTCTGTGAGCGCAATGTGAAATATGAGATGTATTATTCATAATGACTTTGCATTGCTCCTGAAATTACGTTGTATAGTTGTCATGACTATTTCGAGCTCACGGTAGACTACATGAGAAGAGCATACGTTACCTGCAAAACTTTATTTTGGAAATATAGAATAAGAGTACGCAGTTTTTACTATTATCCTCCGCCTCATATCATGACTATGATATGACTTCATTGTGATAATGCTCCTCTTGCAATTAATTGCATTTACTCCTAATGGAGTGAAACTAGTACGAATCCATGAGCTCAATAGTGTAACAGTATAGGCCTAAAATATGCCTGATATCGAATGAGCCGATGCAAAGTGAAACTGGAGGGAAGGAGTGCACCTGATTTGTGAATCACTAGGTGAGGGCTGATCGGTGCTGAAGACATATAACAGTTAAATCATGGAAAGCAGACACAATTCAAGTCGACACATATGATGACACCAGCATCTTGTTGGATCACACCATGATGCATAATAAAAATGATTTCAGTTTCCGCAAGGAGCAGCTTGGCTCCACTTGTTGGAATGATGGATGGCAGGACGCTGAGAACTTTATCTTATCATTGAGCTTATCGCATAGGACCAAGGCTCTCTCTTAACAGACCGTTAGATAACACATCATACATACACAAACACAGGGTGAGTAAAAAAAAGTATATCTGTCGCTTCACATCACAGTTTCTTAAGAGTTACTCATAGTTGTAATAGCGTCCCTCCATAGCAAATAATTTAATGTTAGCTTTCCATTGGTTTCAACAAATTTATCTTCCACGCTGCAAACTTCAAGCTGAAGGCTGACTAAATCAAACACAGCACTTTGAAAGCATACATTTCATTGTCCCTTCAGACATGGACAGAACATTGGCATTCCTCCTTTCGAATTTTATGGCTACGATTCTTCGCAGCTTAGTGGTTTCGATGTTTCAGATCTAGGCATTATATTTTCGTCTTTCCTTGCCCTAGATGACATCATCTTTCAGCGGACGTGTCCAGAAAGAAGGAAGAGGCAAGTGGCACTCACTTCATCACAATACGTTATTCAAGAACACTCGATCTCCTGGAATTTCTACGATGGTGGCTTTCAAAGAACACTTTTACTGCTTTTAATGCTTTTTACTTTGATTGGTTTCAGTTGCATGGAGTCCCCATAAGAGACCAGCTGTAGTTTTTCCTGCATAATTCGTCAGCGGAACATAATTCAGGCTCGATAAGGTTGTTGCCAAATCATCAAATTTTAGGCATGCGAAACATGATTCATTCAGTGTAAATCTGGTAGACCCAAGTTCTTACTTTAGAAAATCTGAGATGGTCTGATCCCACAGCACTTCCTTGCCAAACGAGTGAGGGGAGTGATATTGCTCATCCTTTCAGTCTAATTCACCACGTATTTCACCTTTGAACCTGTAAACTCATGCAACGGCAAACCTCTTACCTCATTTCTTACTCTATGCATGTTGCTACGTTCTGCAAAAGTGTGCTATTCTATACCTATTGCATGCTTCGAGCAGAGAACACAGTATGAACCTCATTTGCAAGCGGTACCTCAGATAAAATTCTCCCGGTATTCTCAAGAAGATTGAGGACCTACTCTTTGAGGACTCTCTGGTGAACCAGGAACGGTGGGAGGAGGTGGAGGACCAAGAGCAGAAAACTCCCGGAGCAGGGGATGAAAGTGTTGCACTCCGTAAGGAGTACCACACTTTTTCAGAGCAGGGGCGGATGTAGCGCCCGCCATGACTTATCGCCTCCCCCCCTAGTCAGGCGCCAGTCTACGGTCCGAAGGGGTTGAAATTAATTGCTACTTCTCCTCTACACGTGTCCTTTCATCATTAACATAGGAGAATGACAAAATTAGGACAGCGACAAATTGAGGACAGACTGGCGGCTTTCGTGAAATCTATGGCTTTGCCGCGATTCCGCTGTCAAGAGGGATCAGAGGTCGACCACTTTCCCCCAAATCTCCTGAATCCATTTTCGGTAACATCCTTCCGACTTTCCGACCATTCAGCGTTTGAGTTTACCGTGACGTGGACAGTCATGGAGAAGAGTATAAAAAACTCTACTTGCAGGGTGGACAGGAGGAGGAGGTAGAGGTTGGTGAAGGGTTTCGGACTTCGCTGCTGCTGCTATCATCAGGCCCCGGGTTAGGGGCCCTGTTGTTAAATCAGAGCCTTGCTATTTCTACTTGGTTGGAACCAAGGTGCCTAAGCGCTGGTTGTTGCCGGGCTTGGGTGGATCTGGTAGGGGCCAGATTCTGTTCCTTGCTGGTTGGAGCCAGAAGGGACGTATAGATATAGCAAGGCCGATATCGGATTGTGAGCGTGCGGAGGGTTGGAGCCCGAGCAACCCCTTCCGGTTTCGTTGTTTAGCCGTGGTTGAACAAATCACGAGACCTCGCGAAAGTGCTGCATCGGGGTGGTGAGCTGAATCATTTTCTTGTTCGTAGAAGTTCTTTTATTTTTGTTCATTCACCTTTAAAAGCGAAAGCTGTCGATCGCGAAGTTGTGCTGAGGAGGATCTTGCACAATCTCATTTTGGGTACTTTGTCGATAAAATAAACGAAATCCTGCAAAAATTCAGTCTGTTGGAATCATTGTCTAACAGCCACTGATAAAGTCCGACCAATACGAACCATCCCAAAAAGACAATTTCTAATATCCTTTTTTAATTTTAATTTTCTTGTTTCGCGACGGTCAAGGTAAATTTGCGGGTAGCTATTAAAGTACAGCGACGTACAAGTAATACTACCGGCCACGCCAGACGAGCGCGAGCGTTACACGTGTTAGTCACGCAGTACTTGCATGAATTCGCCATCCTTTATTCCATATTCACTTCATCAGGAAAACTGCTATGAAAGTTTGTCTTGAAATTGGGCATAATTGATAATTAGCTTTTAATGAAGGCATAATGACACACCTGTGAGGATTCAAACATTTTTTCTTTCCCTGAAGCAGATTCCTTCAATGAATCACATTATCTTTGATAAATATTCATCTTTGAAATGAATTTTTTGATTAGGCCTAATTCATTTTCTACCTGTTCTAAAAGTTTCTCATTTACTGGAGTTCCTTATTTTCAAGTCAATGATCATTTTTCTTACTTGAACACGCGTCTTCTTAGGGGCACTTGGGCTGCCTTCATTATCTCCACTATTTGAATAGTGACGGCTTCTCTCGTGCTCATATGACCTGTAAATATAAGGTAATCTTTTGGTATCATGATTAACTCACAATTAATATTGGACTTTAACTGAGCATTAAGTGCGACATTTAGGAAGCAGAGAAAATGTTTCTTTTTCATATATAGAATATTTATTTAACTTGGAGGTATCAACCAATCTCCTCCTTGTAAATTTCGAGAATTCGATCGACAGAGTGGCATCTAAAGACTGCATGAACTCTGGTCGAACACTGGGGAATGCTTCAGGCCAGACAGCTATCTATATATCCTGAGAATCTACCCAAAACTGCATGTTTATGTTAATTTTACGTAAAATGAATGTAACTTTTTTGTCCATTTTATATCATATTTACGCAAACAGGGGAATGCTTCAGGCCAGGCAGCTATCTATATATCCTGAGAATCTACCCAAAACTGCATGTTTATGTTAATTTTACGTAAAATGAATGTAACTTTTTTGTCCATTTTATATCATATTTACGCAAACCATTGTCAAGAAAAGGTCAACATGTTTGCAGAAATGTCACCTCTGTGATACGTAAACGGTGATATGAAATTAACGTAAATTTCACGCAAAATTGACATTCCCGTTTGCATTCCAAACAGCATGTTTACATTCATTTTACGTAAGATTTATGTTCATTTTCCCCTGGCATTCATGCGTATATAAAGAGCCAATCAGTACCATTTCATATACAAATAATATACAGTATACTGAACCTCCTATTCCTTTACGTTCTTCAGAACTCTAGGGTGGTTGGACGAGTACACGAGTACTCATCCTCACCAGTACTCAGGAGTACCAAAGTGACCTACTGCTTCCTCCTCCCATACCAGAACTTCGGAAGGAGAAGTAGATGTTCAAAGGAGCTCTCTTCCTTTTAGGAAAGAGAAGATGTAGTACTTGTGGGGCTGGGATTCTACTCTTCCCTAATCCCGTGTACTGCTGGAATGAAAAGCTTAACCTCAGCATTTAATGATTACCTGAGTCATATACTATAAATATATATATATAATAATTTCATTTTTTCCATATATATATTCATGAATTGCATAATACAAAGTAGAAGGATGGTAAGGAAACCTGATACTATATTAGAAAAACCAGTACTTAATAGTAATTGTAGGATGCAGGAACGCGACAAACTTGGGAATGAAACGGACGTTTATTTCGTAATAAAATCCCCGATAAATGGGTTTGACGATCAAAAAGTACTTATTCATATACCACATCGTCGGTAATGGTGCCATGCTAGCAACTGTTTTGCTCTGCTTCCGGACATTGATAATCGGAATCTGCAGCGAATCCTCAGAGCGAACTCGCTAACAGGCAAAATTCAATCGCCCATGCGTTAATACTGGCTCCGGAAGTAGTAGTCCGACTCTATCGTACAACTCTGCTTCCGGACATTGATAATTGGAATCTGCAGCGAATCCTCAGAGCGAACTCGCTAACAGGCAAAATTCAATCGCCCATGCGTTAATACTGGCTCCGGAAGTAGTAGTCCGACTCTATCGTACAGTGAAAACTCGTTAACTCGAATCCTGATAAGTCGAAATTCCGTTTATCTCGAACTTGAATGCTTGGTCCCGGTGAAACCCCGTAGGACACCATGCTAAATGCTCCGTTTAACTGGAATTCGCTTATCTCGAATTTCCGGATATCTCGAATGACAACTCTGCTTCCGGACATTGATAATCGGAATCTGCAGCGAATCCTCAGAGCGAACTCGCTAACAGGCAAAATTCAATCGCCCATGCGTTAATACTGGCTCCGGAAGTAGTAGTCCGACTCTATCGTACACTTATTATTTCCGCTGCGTACCAGCCTGTCTCCTCACTGAAGAAAAGTTTCGTACCTTGTAAGTGGCGGTTGTGATGTGGATGGGTGAAGACCTGAAACCAGGAATGGAGGATAGGCAATGATATATAGATCTCTCTGCAATGCATTTTCGCATAGCTAGACAAATATGTGAGTAGTTCTCGACTAATTCGAGACATGAGTACCCTAAGGACTTTAAATACCTTGCAAATAGTCCGCGGCTAATTGGTTTTTTTCTTTAAGTGCCTCAAGGAAAATTGGGATAGTTTTCATGGCATCTTTGCGGTACAGGACTGCGAAGATCTCATCAAAGCGTTCATTTGGAGAGTTCTTGCTGCGAATGGTCTTATCTTCCATGGCGGTGAACACGGATTTGGAATTCAAACTCTCGAGTAACCCATCTCCATCCACCTCGTACTCATCTCTCAGCTTGCACTTATTTTGTCTGATCTTCTTCCAATTCTTGAGTTGCTCACTCATCCTGAAATAGAACAAGTGTATCTATCGAGAAACGTCCATACAAGTAAGTATTCTGTTGTGAAGAAGCCTCCAGATGATCTGTAAGAACTTGGTGACGGTATGAATCCGCCCCGTTCTATCCCTGAGCGTAGTCTTCAATTTTGAGTTACGATGTCAAAGCAAGTCTCTCATTCCCCCGAACGCCTGGTTCGGTCAAGAAGAGCGACAATTTAAAACGGAGCCCTTTGACTACATATGGATGAGACGGCTCCGTCCCCCCTCTTTCTAGAAGAAGACGTCTGTGCTTTCCACTTTTGAGGGTGGAAAAATCGCCCTCTGTCTTACAGACGCATTCCTTCGCGTCCTTACAGACGCGAAGGAATGCGTCTGTAAGAACTTGGTGACGGTATGAATCCGCCCCGTTCTATCTAGGATAACTCGAAACGATTTGCCCGGTCCCTAAAAGTTCGAGTTAACGAGTTTTCACTGTATGTCTCTCCCTGAGACTCGTTTGTAGGAATACCATAGGCAAGCAGGATAAGAAAGTGACATCGACAAAGATTGAACCGGATGTGACGTCGGGTGACACATTCAATGAAACACTTTGCAGCAACTCTTGAAACTCTTTGACCTGCCGGTCCGCATCATCACCATGATCGTTCTTTAGTGTCGATAATGTGATAAGTCTGCATTTCGCCTTCCAATCGAGACGACAAGTCCTCGTCAACCACGTTATATGCGTAAGCAGGTCCATTGCCAAGTCGAAGACCGTGTGACACGTCATACCAGCAGACTGTTCGTAGCCAGGACAACGTCTGATTTTATGAAGCAGTCTAGAACGTTACCAGTAATGTCAGCAATCGTTGCATCGAAGGGAGCAAACGCCGTTTGAGCTGTTGTGTTGCCTGTTAAACTCACGAAAATTGCGCTTTCGTTTGTATTTTATTTTCCCTACATCAACAGCATTTTGAACTCT